GGTACCTCAGCAATCTTGTCATTACATACAGTCCATGACTGCATCCACCTTTCACTAGGAACATAGATATGACATTACATTGATGACCTCTTCCTCCAAGGAGTTTTATTTTACACATACTAAGGACATATAAATATTTACACAGGGACTCAGAAAGGGGATAGAACATAGCTCCATACATAGTGCAAGGTCTCACCTCCTCTGTTACATTCTTAAAATTATTTGATAAACTGAGGGCTGTTCCATCTCTGACACTGTCAAGAAACAGCTATTGAACCTTTCCAAACTCACAATGTTAATACAAGTTCAACATCTTTCAGGATTTTTGTTTTTGTTTTTAGTTCTGGAGGTACCATATTTGTCATTTAAAAGTTCTACTTAATTTCACTGGTGCTGTTACTTGCAAGTTAATCCACCTTGAATAGGTTTTTCTCCAATAATCAACTCCAGAATCTGTCCAAATTGAAATCAGCAACCATTCCTGTTAGTGTCCTCAAGACTTCTTCATTGTCACTTTAGTAACCTCCTTTCATGCCTCCTGCAATCTCTAGGCCATCTATAGTGACCATAGGTTATGGCCTTCTGATGCAAAAAATTATCCTTCATAGTCCTGCACTATACATATACCATTAGGAAAGCAATTGCTGGTCACATACTGAAGTCTGAACATCGAGGCTCTTACAGTCCTTTAGCATGTGACTTTCCATACCCAGCTGTCCATTATGCCTTGTGTCATGGAGGCAGTACCGCACAAGCACATCACAGCTATTGAGACATCCTGCCACAAGAAGGAGCCAAACCTGGGCTCTTTAGTAGATCTCACCTACAGGAGAGGTAATCTCCTCTATCTGCAGTCACTTGCCCAATTCCATGAAGCTGGAGGAGGTCAATCCTCTCCCAGACCGTTGACTACCTAGGGACCCCTTTGGGACTAACACTGGGAGTTCATACACTTTATAGATGGTATTGCACCTCATACTTGATAGAGTTCAGTAGACAGTTGCTGTTTTTCATCCCTTAAGCAGAATGTCTCTGAAAAAGATACCAAACAAGAGTCAGCAAATTGAATTGGCTACACTTCAGGTAGTCATTTTAACATTGGATGCCTTGGTAAAAAGATAATCCCATGTGCACATACTTGCAAAATCTTGGGAATCTCTTATCTCATAATTATAAATTAAGGTCACGTATGTCTCTACATGTACCAAGGCCACAATACAGTACTCATTTCACTTCTCAGAATCCACAATGCTGGCTCTTAAAGAAAATATTCAGTGGAACTTCCACCTCTCTGATAGGCCTGGGGAAGTTGGCTTAATTGAAAGACACACTGAGTTCCTCAGAGAACTCTTATTTAAATTTCAAAGTGGCAGATGGATCCCCCACTGGGTGTCACAATTACCACAGGCATTGATTAATCTAAATTTCTTGCCCCTGGGGACTTAAACTCCCTATACCAATGCCACACAGGTCCTTCAAATGCCTTTATTGACCCCAAAGGGAGACACCTCTAAAGTTAAGGTTTTGTGATGATCACCTTGCCATGAAGCCCTTTTCCTTCTGGTCAAATGCCTACTTCTCTTCCTAGAAAGGCACTTCTCCTACTCCCTAAAATCTCAGTCATAACCAAGATTTAAATTGATGTCAAAATGTTCAAGTGATCAGTTGTGACCTGACCTAAAATTAATATTAAATGCTGCCTTGATAGCTTGTAAAATCAGAAGGCCCTTAAATAGCAAGTTCCCCTCCTCATTCGGCTGCCATGGACAATGTTCCTTTAGCCAAAAACTCTCCTTATCATGGAGACCAGGCACAGTTCTTGCTTATCCCTGAGTAGCAAGACTCAGTTCCATGCCAGTCCATGGAGTTATTCAAACAATCACATACTTCAGTGGGAAACAAGGGTAACCTCTCCCTCTTGATACTATGTTTGACTCCTTCAGAACCTGTTTGTACACCATGTTTCCAAATACAACCCCCTGTGGCCCTACATGGCCCTCTCCTGCGCTGTGAGTATATGTGACTGATAAACTGCTGTCCATCTCATCTGTCCACTGTTGGATGTTGGATGTTTGGCCATCCTTATAACCCTAGGATGGGGAATCCATTCTTCACCAATGATGTGAAAAGGAGATGATCAAAAACAAGAAGTTATAAAGAAAAAAAATTATGTTGTCTTTTATATTTACCTATTCAATCAGTTTTTCATGTGGATTTGAGTTACTACATAGTGTTCTTTCACTTAAGCTTAAAAATCTCCTTTAGTATTTCTTGTACAGCTTGTCTGCCAGCAATACATTTTCTTTATTTTTTGTTCATCTGGGAATGAGGTTTTTTTTTAGCTGAAAGTCTTTTTTGTTTCATCACTTTTAATATGTCATCTTACTATCTTCTGGCCTCCATTATTTCTGGTGAGAAATTAGCTGTTGTTGGAACCAAGATGGCGGCATAGGTTAACGCCGGAGTTTGCCGCCTCGAACAACCATTTCAAAAGTGAAACTAAAAGACGGAAGGGACATCACCCAGACCCACAGGAACGCTGGCTGAGTGGAAGTCCTACAACTAG